AGATATAAATATCATTATTCAATAATTGTTAATTATATTAACTATCAACATTTTAATCTTGTATACTTCTGATAATTAATAATTATAACTACTCTTATTTAAATTGTTTCTATTATCAATTAATTTCATTATTGATAAATCAATAATGAAATTAATTGATAGCAATGAATTTCTCCTTATTTACTTATTCCAAACTATTAGTAAATAATTAATAATTGTATGGTAGATTATTTAAAATAATCTTTACTAAGTTATTATTAAGTGATATGATTTAGCCTATTTTCTGATAAAGTATTTGCTTCAGTAATTAACATAACACAGGAAAAAAGTCTAATAAAATCATTTGCTTACTATTTGGCTTTATAGAAATTACAATAAAAGAAAAAATTTTGAAAAATATATTTTCAGTGAATAGTTATTTTTTGGATTACAAACTAATTCTATATATATTATCAATAAAGATTTAACTGGACTTTATAAAAAAATTGTCCACCAACAACTTTTTGAATAAATACTGACAACAAATAACATACCATTTTTATCAATGGATACACATGTATCAAAAAATATATTATATACTAGTGCAGCAATTCCCAATCAGAGGTATGCACTTGGTGGTTTAGGGGTATGCAAAAAAAATTAATAATGGTGGAGATAGTATAAGAATATTCAGATTATGCATTGAGGCCTTTGGCAATGTCACAGCTTTTGATGCTTAGTTTTAAATAAAAACATAATTATGTTTTTATTATATTTATGTGTCCCTTCCTCCAACACTTTTTGATTAGAAAAAACTTTTGCACATAATAGTACAGGGCTATATAATTGACCAATGTGTCACTGTTTCACAAACATGAAAAATAAAACTTACTGAACATTATACTGTTACAATTCTACTGGTGCTAACATTTTTGACATTCTAAAATTTTGTTTACATTACATATTTAAAAGTAAGTTTTCAGTTAGTTTTTACAATATTTATTTTATATTTAATTTAATCAATTTGCAGGCATTTGTGCCTCCACACAATTATACACTTTTTATTATTAATTAATATCAATTTCTGTACAGTAATTTTTATCATTATTTTAATTGAAAATTAAAACTAATTTGTAAATTCATTAATAGTTAGATATGGATCAGTGGGTTGGCCCACCAGTAGCCAAGTGGTTTCATTCCCTGAACACTAGTAGTTTGGTCATGGATTCACTCCTTGCCAGGATGGACTGGCCACAGTTTTCCAGGTTGTTTTCCATGTCTTTAATGCCTAAATAGGGACCAGTTACATTTAAAAGACCTGGAAGGCATCCCCGCCAGACAGATCACCCAAGCACTGTGTTTCCACAAACAAATGGATCAGTGGTTGAAAACTAGTACAATAAAAAGCTGAAACACAAAATTTTGGAAAATTATCAATTACCAAGCATCTCTCAATGTAATTTTTTGGTGCAAAACACTGAAAGGGCACAGTCTTCAGTTCCACAGAGGTAAAAAGAGAAAATACTGTGATGAATACATGAAATATTGATTTGTGTATATAGGAGCTGATGACGGTCCTGAACAGAAATGTTTAGTATGTAGGGAAGTGCTGTCAAATGGCAGCATAAAATTTTCCCTACTTTTACAGCATCTATAAACAAAACATGCCAATTATAAAAACAAAGAATATGATTTCTTTTAAATGCTTAGCAGCTCAAAATAAGAATATTTCAATTCTGACATAATAGTTCTTGCCAGCTAATAGAGATTATGAAAATGCAATTGAAGCTACTATTAGTTTCTTTTTTAGTAACCAATGTCAAAGAGCAATGATGTGGTAAGAAGAAAAATAGCTGAAACACTGAGCACTAAACATTTGTAACCTATAATACAGATAACCTTTTAATCTTAATCAGTTCAGTGGCCCTGTTTACCTTTCTTGCCATTTCACTACTATTTATTTACAGTTGACACAAGTTTAAAATACAACTATGTAAAGTACTATACAAACATTTTTCTAATGTAAGGAGTAATTAGGAAAATGGGTTTCCAAGGGGTACGCAAGTCAAAAAAGGTTGGAAACCACTGTACTAGGGCTTCTTGCTCTTGACCATCTTCTGTAGTCTAACCCTAACATTTCACATTGCTTTGCATCTGCTCTGTTCATTTGTGTTTCAATTTACACAATAATTCTTTATAAAAGTAATATTACTTTATAAATATTAATTTAATGATTAAATAATAGATAGTAAAAAAATATGATCGTAATTTTAAATATTGAGGAAAAAATAAACAAAACTTTAAAATAGGTAGATGGTACTTAATTGATGCTTAGACATCATCTTATTCTACAAAGTATCAAAATCTAAATTTTGATGCCATATTAAAATCATTGGCATTTTTGGGATTTTGAATTTTTCAGATGAGCTTGTTTTATACTCCTAATTTGTTTTTCTGCCCTCTACTCAAATATTTCATGACAGCAAGTCAAAAAGTCAATGTAGCCTTTCATACATACATATATGTAAAATCAAAATGTCAAAATATAAAGTCCTAGTAGACATTTTACATATAAAACTGCATAATAAGGACACAGAGGCATATAAATGTTCATGTACTTTTACTCATTGATCATTTAATACAGCATGACCAGACCTCAGCATTGTGGTTTTTCTTGATGATTTCCTTGTCATTTTAGTTTTTGGACATACTGAACATTCGTCATCAAAAATGGAAGAATGATCTCATGTAAATACAGTAGCCCATTTCTTTACTGTAGAAAACAATGGTGAAATGTCTTTCAAAGTAAAATCCAATTCCTTTTTTAATATGTATTGGCATTACACCTTTTAAAATTATATTTTATCATAGTTTGACATTTAATTTTAGCCATTTTTTTGGAAAACACTAAAAGTTTGCTTTGCTCAACCACAACAAACTACTAAATGCATGTATTTGAAATTTCACAGTTTGCCTTCTAATGGATCATACTTGAGAAATAACCTTGACATTTGATATTACCAGTTCTTGGCCTGACATTTCTATGTCAGGCCAAGAACTTTTCAAACTACTCATAAATAAAAATGGTCAGCAATTTTTTAATGTTACAGACTTGAAGGCTGCAATTCATGATACTTGGAACATAGTTCCTAAAAAATTTTTGAAAATTTAATTAAATCTATGAAAGATTGTATATTTAAATTAATTAATTTAAATGGAAAGTTTGTTGATTACTAATTCTCTCTTTTATATGCATTTAATTCAGCTGAGTTGATATTTTTTGGAACAGAGCAAAATTTTTCTTCAATTTAAATAACTACCAGGAAAGTAAAATAATTTGGAAGCAAACAACTTTGGAACATTTAATTCATATAATAAACATGATTAAAAACAACATTGTTTTTAGCTAGTTAATATAACAAGTTTATTTAAATTTCAAAATAATATATGTTAATAATTATTTGGGATACATCTTAGCTACAAAAAGAATGAAATTTGTCTTGTAAAGGTTTTGTAATGATCTTATTTATTTCAAATGTTATCCTTTGAGCTTGCAGTAAATAAATATTCAAGATTGAAGTGTCTCTCACAATATATAGTGGGATAATAAACATGGTTGCTTTACAGCAGGAGTCACCAAACTACAGCCTGCGAGGTCAGTTCATCTGGCCCACCACCTCCCTGTGCCACAAATAAGCTAAAATTTAATTATTCATATGGAAATATCTTAGATTGTAGATAAACTTGCTTTTTGTGTAAGTACTTGCAATAAAGTTTCTAAAAAAAGTAATTACAAGCTTGCTGCAGCAATCGTGTTTGTATATTGGTAAACTAGCAGACCTCGCCACGCGTTGTTGTGGCTCAAAATGTATCTATTATAAATTTATAACACTTCCCCAATAGGGGAGGGGAAATTTTTCGAAAAATTTCTTCTTAGTGTACATTCTCTTGACGTACCCTATTAAAACGCAAAAAACCGCATCTAAAATAGTATAGGCCTAAATAGAAGCAGAGTTCTTTACAGTAAGCCTTAATCCTAACCATCTCCCTTCAGTGGGGGGAATTTCGACATGTATATTATATAAAAACACGTGCGTATTCGAATGCAGTGTTGTGTCAAAATTTCAAGGGAATCAGTAGGAACAAACAAACATTACATTTTTATTTATATAGATAGATAGAAGATGATCCGCTTTAGTTCATTTTCACAGAAAAGCAAACTTAGGGCGTTGTACTTGTAGCGCCATCTGTTGGACATAAAAGCCTTAACCTAGATTATATATTTTAATTTATATGAATGTTTAACAGAATAATATACAGCCTAAGGTCCACCCTGAGGTTCTGTTCTAAATATTGGTGAAAGAATTTTTGAAATCGGGTGAGTAGTTTCGGAGATTACCTGCTGCAAACAAACTTACATACATACATACTTACAAACATTACCACTTTATAATATTAGTATAGATAAATGTATTGGTTGACTTTATTTTTTGTGTATTCAGTATANGGTTTAGTCAACTAGGCCACTGGTTGATACCCTTTACGGAGTATCAATTATTAAAATTATTCTTAATATAGCCCAATAATCTGGTAGTTCATTGAAAAACTGTATTATGGATTAAATATTTATTCATTTATTTATTTATTTAGAAAAGTAAGGGGACCAGATACACCCAGTCCTTCCCAGTTACACTACTGATTTTACATGCTATATATTTATTTATAAGTATATTTTAAATATTAAATAAAAAACGATCTTATTACTTGCCTTATACTTGACACCCGCAGGATCCTGATCCGTACAAATCGTTAAATACATATTAGGAGATTTGCTACTACTTGGTCTGTCTGCTTTTACGTCCTGATAAACGAGGAGCATCGCATGGCACTGTCTTTGCTTTGGGATCGAAGTGGAATGCAACTGATGATCGGTAATTTCAATTTCGCAAGATAACATCATTCTACAAATACAAGTTAATTTTTATGGCATAAATAAAATGTGAACAAAAATAAATTAATATAATAATTTTAAAATTACCCCAGCCATTCACATTTTTCTACAGGTTTTTCTTCAAAAATTAATTTATTGTTATTATTACTGCTGTCATTTAAAGGCACATCTGAAATGTAACTACATGATTCTTTATCTTTTATTGGTGTTTTACGAGAAACAATGTCATTAAACAACTTTGTTAATTTTGCTAATTGATCATCTGACAGCTTCTGTTCTGATGTAACATTATCAGAATTTTCTTCTGTAGATGTATCATTAGAATCTTCTCCAATATTATCTATTATGTTTGAGATTTCATTTGTTGTTTCATTTACAAGCAATGGTTTTTCCAAAGAAGAATTTTTTCTCCTCCTGCTTTTTTTAAATCTTTTATTTCCTCCATTTTTCTCTCTAAAATCATTTAAGTCATCACATTTTTTAAAATCTTGGACATCTTCAAACTGATCATTGGTTTGTAGTTTCCTTTTTGAATATGCAAAGTTCAGATTTAAATTTTCTTTAAGAGAATCATTGTACTCAACATTTGTGTTTTTGATAGATGTATCATTCAAATCTGTTGATAAATGAAGATCTTTAATATCACTATCTCTTTCTTTATTTGTCTTTGATAACTTTGAATTTACAACACTTTTGCTAAAATATTTATTTAAATCATTTTGTGTAACCTTTCTTGTTTTGTTAACTCGTTTTACTTTTGGTTTTAAACATGTATCTGTTTGCAAATATTCATTTTTTGATAATGGAGATAAAGTTTCTGCTGTTGAACACACAGTATTCAGTAATCCTGATGAATTTTCTATTTTTGAGTTTCGAGACAGTTTTTCTTGAACATCGCTGTTTGATTGATGATTTGATGGAGAACTTACTAGTTGATCCATTTTCTAAGAAAGATATTAGTTTTAACTTAATAACAATAAAAATTACTTTTAATTACAAGTATATTTCAAAACTTGCCAATTTTTTTTCTTTACAACTTGAAAAATTCAACTCATTTTCAACTTGTAATGAGCTACTCTGTTTCTTTTTCTTACATTTCCTAAAAAAATATAATTATTTTGAATCAAATTTAACAGATATAATTAAAAACTGACAAAATCAATAACAAAAATTTGGTTAATTATGATACTTCCTTATTTCTGAAATTATTTGGTTATTATTCTAGATATTATCTTTTTATCTGCATTCTCCTTTCTCCCCACAAATACTAGAAGTTTTTTTAGTGTATCTTTAAATTAAGGTAGGAATTACCAACCATTTTTACTTATTGACTGCTTTTATAAATTAGATTTAATTCCTCAATCACTTTCTACATGACAGAAAATTAGAATAAATTACAAAAATAAAATAAAATAAAAATAATCATACAGAAATTAATAGTAATTTTTTAAATTAAATGTAAACCAAATTCAAAACCACTGTATTTTATTAATACAGTGGGTGAATTACCCAACTTCACTGCCTGTAACCGGCGTTCTTCTTCTCCAATACAGAGGACTTTGCAAACATTCGAAAACATTTGCAAAGTCCTCTGTATTGGAAAAGAATAACGCCGGTTACAGGCAGTGAAGTTGGGTAATTTATCTATTCCGGTGTTAAAATTTCTGTATAGTTTAATACAGTGGGTGATCAGTTAACGAACATTTTCACAAAAGATTTTTATGTTCGAACAATGGACACCTCACAGAACAAACACAAGAAGAAGCAACGTAAAATAATGAATACCAATTGGTCTTTCCTTGTCTTCAGGCAACAATTCAAAACTTTTCAGAGCACAAGAGATGTCAACATTGACACTCAACCCAGTATATACTGATCAGATAGTATTACTCTGAACTTTGAATCTTTCCCTTGTAATTCCAGCCTTTTATTTTTCTTTTATAGTATTCATGAGACTCTCGGGCAGGCACTCATTAAGTTCTGCATCTGTTTTTATTTTCGAAAGATGAGAGTATAATAGCAAAGGTAGAGAGTGGGCAGATGTCTGATATTGCTGGGCAGTATGACTTGAACAGGTCTACAGTAGGTCACAGTTCAATCTTATCTAAGACTAGCAGACCCCGCCACGTGTTGTTGTGGCTCAAAATGTATCTATTATAAATGTATAACACTTCCCCCGTGGGGAAAAAATTTTTTGAAAAATTTCTTCTTAGTGTACATTCTCTTGACGTACCCTATTAAAACGCAATCAAAAACGCAAAAACCCACATCTAAAATAGTATAATAGAAGCCAAGTTCTTCACGGTAAGCCTTAATCCTGTCTCTCTCCCCTGCGAAGGAATATCGAAAAATCCCTTTGTAGTGTATATTCTGTTGACGTACCTTATTAAAATGAAATCAAAAACGCAAAAACCTGCATCTAAAATAGTATAAATAGAAGCAAAGTTCTTTACAGTAAGCCTTAATCCTAACCATCTCCCTTCAGTGGGGGGAATTTTGACACGTATATTATATAAAAACACGTGTGTATTCGAATGCAGTGTTGTGTCAAAATTTCAAAGGAATCGGTAGGAACAAACAAACATTACATTTTTATTTATATAGATAGATAGATAGAAGATGATCTGCTTTAGTTCTATAGAAACATCGCTAAACCCGATGTGCCAAGTTAATTGCGTAATTTATTTGGTAATTAGCCTTAAAACTAGCCCGATGGATTTACGGCATATGTTTGGTGATCTGCTTTAGTTCATTTTCACAGAAAAGCAAACTTAGGTCATCATACTCGTAGCGCCATCTGTTGGACATAAAAGCCTTAACCTAGATTATATCTTTTAATTTATATGAATGTTTAACAGAATAATATATAGTCTATGCCCACTCTGAAGTTCCATTCTAAATATTGATGAATTTTTGAAATCGGATGAGTAGTTTCAGAGATTACCCGCTACATCCAAACTTACTTACTTACAAACATTACCTCTTTATAATATTAGTATAGATACAGTATAATCAAGAAGACTCAAGCAGCTAAAGGAGTAACAAAAATCACATCTGAGAAATAAAGAACATTGAAGAGCTCATAATGAAACCTGAAACAGATCTGACGACAGAAGAACTTGAATGAATAACACCAAGAACATCGGTGAGATATGTTTTATTCTGAAAAAAAGGATTAATGCCGATATCTGCTATTAAAGATCTTTTGAAGAAGTGGGAGGATGCCAGAACAACGGTCTTAGAATGGCATCCAAACCAGGTTGAGGTTAACAGGATTAGGAATCTCTACAATTAAAATGCTATTAATTACTTCTGAAAAATCCTAAAGAAGAGAGAAAAGCGATCGACGTTAGACAGATTTTTCAACCACCACAAACAGAAAAATCATGTCTAATAAAAATGCAAGACTGTGTATATATGTATTTTTATTATTACATATAAATAAACGTAGTAAGAAAGTGTATATTTTTTATTTTTTGGGGTCTCAGAACAAATTAATCAAATTCCCATAAAAACCTATGGTAAATCAATAATCAGTTAACGAATAAAGTCTTGGAACAGATTATGTTCATTAACTGATCACCCACTGTACAGTAAGACCCCGCTTAACGCTGCTTCGCTTAATGCTGATTCAATATAATGCCACCTGACCAAATCCTAAAAGATAAAGCTCAAAATTTATGCTGATTTAAATTATCGTAGCATTTTATTGATTCGTATATAATACGATTATTTACGAACACAAACCAATCAGAAAACTATGGCAAAAAGGTGTACTTTTTTTAAATCTGTGTTTGTTTGCTGCAATTTGGATAAAATATAACATCATGAATGCCATAGGCAATATCGACTTTGCTTGGCAAGAATGAACTGATAAATGCATGAACAAAGTGTGGAAAAGTTATGGCTGAAGGTATCCAAGAATTCTCAACAAGAAGAGCCTATCGCTGTATCATTAGGTTGACCAAACTCAATCTAATCGATACAGGACTAGAAGATGAAGACGAACAGGATATTGAGGAATTACTGCAGGTTTCTGATGAGTGTCTTATCAACAACGATCTTCAACAACTGGCAGAACAAGGAATTCATGTAGAACTGGAAAATAGTGATTCTGAAAACAAAGAACCCAAAAAATTTCTCTACAGATTTCCTTAGTAAAAGTTTGGTAACGATAACCGAAATTGTTGATCAAACTGTAGTGAATGATCTAGATTTTGAAAGGAGTGCAAAAGCAAAACGAGGCATTTTGGATGCGATCTTCTACCGACATTTGCTAAAGGAAAGAAAAAAGCAACAAATGAAACTTTACGACTTTATTGCAAAAAAACAAGAATTTCAGAAAAGTCAGGACCTTCATCACAAAAAATGAACTAATTAATATATTATTATAAATTTCTGTCTGCATATGTTTATGTGTTATTTAACACATATTATTATACAAATTAATATTAAAATTAAAGTAAAATTTTTTTATTTTCGGTCACGTGTTCCCCTATCTCTATTTACTCTATGTTAAAATTACCTTATTTAATGCTGTTTCGTTTAGTGCTTTGTTGTCTAGGAACACATATCCCCACGTTAAGTGGGTCTCACTGTATTTAAAGATGTGTCAACCATCTTATATAAAATTATCATTTTTAAATATAACAACAAAAAATTTACCACTGAACTCAACCATTAGTAACTTATAGACCAGGCATGGCCAACATACGGCCCGTATAATGAATTTAAGCGGCCTGCAATTAATCTTTCAACATAAGCTACTGAAGTCCAAATAGATCAATGAAAGTTTTGATGCCTAAAGAAAAGAAAAGAAAAGAAAGAAAAGGTCAACAACTATAGCATGCAATGTTGAAAATGCATGATAATGTGAAAAATGTATCTGTAATCTCTATGTACAATTTAGTCTCTACGGGGTGACACCACAATGAGATCTCCCACCACCTCAAAATCTTCCTAGGGCAGCCTCTGGTTCGGCCCATGAAAAAGTTTTCTTTCTAATTCGGCTCGGGGGCAAAAACTGTTGGCCACTCCTGTATAAATTGATTGATCTCTCAGGATCAATCAATTTATATTTAGTCCATTTATAATTAATATGACCACAATGGGAACCCTTTCTTTAGAATAAAAACACACACACACACACACACACTTCAGTCAATTAAAAGTTTATATTTAGAATAATAAATCAAATCCTAATTACAGCTGTCCCTTGATAGTCTGACATTTTGTAATCTGACATGCTCAGTAGTCTGATGCACCTCCCGTCAAGGTACCCGTCCCCGTTACATGTCTGCTTGCACAGAAGCATGCTGCAACATAAATCTCCCCACCCAATTCTTACACGATGACACACATTTCGTGTGTTTTCCGTGAGCAGTTCTGTTTGAACAGTTGGAGTAGGGGAATATTGTAGGCTACTGCTAGCAAAACAATGCCAAATATGTAATCATTTTCAGTAATCCGACACCCCTTTGGTCCCATACCTGTCGGATTATCAAGGGACAGCTGTACTATATTTTATAGTATATGACACACAACTTTTATCAAAAAGAAACCTGATTCTTATATGAGAAGATGCAGTCTTCTATATACTAGTGAATTCCCTAAATTGTGTATACTAGTATTCTTAAATACCAAATATTTTAATTATAAAATGATTTTTTGCTATATCTAAATCTAAGCAACTTCTCATTTACGATATTTTAATTATGAAGAACTTCTTTTTACTGATCTTCATATTCATTATAAAATACTAATAGCTTGCTTTATATACAGGGTATAACAAAAATACATGTAAAAAAAATGGAGGGTTATAAAAAAGTTAATTTTTGAGTCAAAAACTCAAAGTACTATTTATCCACAATGATGGCTAGGTCAAAGTGAGTGTGTGCTTGGCCTGCAGTCACCCAATCTGAACCTAGATTTTTGTTTTGACCATTTGAAATGTCTAGTGTATGGTACTAAATTCTAAATCTCATAGAACTTAAGTGAGAAATTCAAGAGGGTTGTAATTCAATCTGAAATAGCCCAGAAGTGTTTGAATATATCCATCTGCCCTTATACCAATGGGCTGAAGCCAGTATTCAGCTGAAGGACACCATTTTGAATCCCTTTTGTAATTAAGTGATTTGTTATTTTCAATAAATTAATAATGTTTAGTGTGTCCGTAAATGCAATGATAGCTTACTAACAAATATATCTTTTATTTTTCCTTACATCCATTATAACCTATATTGTTACAAAAAAGGAGTGAAATTCAAATAATAAATAAATATTGCAGATAATAAATGAAGGTTATCAAACTAACATGCAATTACTAACAGATATTTTCATAAGTCAGATGTCATGTTTGCTAAACAGTAAATGACATGCCAATGTTTTAATCACTTATAACTCAAAAAGAATGTTCCAAATCAAACAATGGTACTAGAGTTTTTGAATCAAAATTAAATTTTCTACAGCCCTTCCATTTTTTTTACACAAATTTCTGTTACACCTGTAAAGTATATTTCGCTATAACTAAGAAGTTTTTGTATGTATTAATATATAATATTTTAATGGTAAGTTTTAATTGTAAATTACTTCTTTTAAACTCCTGTATTTTCCTGATAAATAAAAACATGCACTCTAATTTTCCTTTTTTTGTAACCATAATAGCACAATACTTTTTTCCTAAATATTCTGTGCTGAAATCAATATGGGTCATATATTGTAAAATTTTGGTAATTTATGTAAAATTAAAAATTTTTGTAATCAAAAGTAATAAATATAATAAATTATAAACTGTTCTTCTGCAGATCATATTTGTTTAGGCTACACATTTTTTGCATTATCTACAAAAGCTGTCATATAGCATTAGTCTTGGCACTCCTAGATGTCATATGAGTATATCCAAAGATACAATAATGTTAAGTTGCATCATAATATTTTTGTTTACATTTAAGTTTTATTTAACATCAAAACAATAATGATTACTTAAATAGTAAAACAACATCTGCAAAGATTCATGTTTGATATAAAATGCAAAAATTATATTTTTTAGAATCTGTTTGTGTATTAAACATGTAGAATAAATAAATGTCACAATTGCTACAAATGTAAATTTATACTCAGATCATTTTAATTAAAGAAATATTAATTTTACATAAATGTGAAAAACCTATGAATTCTATTGTGCAAGATGAATTATATGTGCAAAAATTCTTCATAATATACTAATTTTTGATTTTTAATTTTTAAAGATTTTTGTAATTTTTAAAGAATTCACTATATCTAATTTGATAATTTGAAAATATTCAAAGACAAAATACTTACATATGAGGCAGAGAAGATTTGAATGATGATGATGATGTGGAATCTTGTTCATTTTGAAAGTAAGAACTTGTTTCTTTACATTTCTAATAATAGTAAATTAGCAGAGTTATCAAATTTGAACTTGAAACTAGTGACAATTTAAGAACACATTAATTAGTAATTTGAGAAATTTAAAACTTTTAAATTTAAAAATTAAATATAACAACTCATACAGAAAATATATTTTTAAATACAGCTTTTTATTACTATAATCTTAGATAATTTTAGAAAATTAGAAAATTTTAAACAGTTATTTATTTATCTAAGTTTATTTATCTAAGTTCAAAACATCATATAAATGAAATATATATTCTATAATCTTAACTATATTTTCTTTCCATTGTTATTTTGTTCTTAATGCTATTAAATTTTGTTGGTTAAAGGTCAAAGGGTTGGGAAATAGAATGGTCATATCTCAAATGGGATCAGACACAAGGAAGATTTTATTTGTTATTAGCATTTACAATTTTTTATAAAACTAATTTCTATCCTCAAAGCTTTTTGCAAATTTGTAATAATTAAAAATATAAAAAGTTTTTGTAATAAAACCTCATAACAGCTGGAAAAGTTACACAACTCTTTGCTAGATTTTTATTGATTATTATGTTTCTACACCAAAACAAGTAAAGTTTTCATCTAACACACTTTTTTGAAAAATGCACTTATGAAAAGTTATAAGTGTTTGAAGTTTCATGTGTCTGCCACATGCTGAATCCATTGAAGTTCATTAAAAAATATATATATATTATTTCGAAACGGATGGGAATTTTTATTGTAAATATAATAAATTATAAACTGTTCTTCTGCAGATCATATTTGTTTAGGCTACACATTTTTTGCATTATCTACAAAAGCTGTCATATAGCATTAGTCTTGGCACTCCTAGATGTCATATGAGTATNTTAAAAAATATATATATCATTATGGAACTGTTATTATTTGGTGGAATTGTTCTTTTTCTTCAAAGATGTTGATCTTGGTTCCACAAAATAATAACAGTTTCCTAATGACTTTTCAGCATTTTTCTTCCTTTATTTCAAGGAACTTCACACATGTACTGTGTGGTGGCTGTATATAACTTCAAACACTCATAATCATTAATAAATGCATTAAAAAAAAGTTTTAATAAGTAACAAATAAGTTTGATAAGTAGTTAGTTCATTTTTGATGCAGAATCATAATATGCAATAAAAAACTGGAAATTTCCATTTCAAGAAAATGAAGTTGATCTACCTTCACCAACTGTAGTGTCATTTATGATGAAACCAATAATCATCCCCCTCAATGTCTAACATTTTTGGTTCAATGATTTTTTTATGTAAGATGCATATTTTTTGAGTTATTCCAGCAGATTGATTAAAATGGACTGCTCTGTATAACTGATTCAGTTTTAAATAAAAATTTCTTAACAATGTATTAAAAAGATAAAATTAATTGATGTAACTGTATATGAAATGTACAGTACTTACTAAATCAATTTCTTCCTTGACTTCTCTCTGTACAACTTCAATTTTTTTAACATTAATAAAGAGGATATAATCCAAAATGATTATGGGTTCAAATAAACCACCTTAAAGAAATAAAATAATTAAATTGCCATCACCATTACAAAATAGATAATTTAAATTAATATATTATTTAGAGAAAAATTTATAGATTGTTGGGTTATTGACTAGTATTATAGGTTCTGGAACAAAAGCCTTAGTATGCCAAAGAGTGTCAAACCACTTTAGTAATAGGAAACAATTACAAGCTGTGTATGGGTACACAATCAAGGAATATGTTTTTTTTTTTTTTTTTTATACTAGTATAGCACAGAATATAAGTTAATGTTGTGGTAAAAAGCAGAGGCTGATTCAAGTTGGCTATTGTCCCTAAGCTTTGCTCAAACAAATTATCTGGAAAGTCTCATTTGTAAAAGTGGTATAATTTTGGCTATTTACATACATAGCCAGAATTACAGCAGAGTGTTGTTTATCTGAATCAATTGGGGACTGAGGTTGTTCGGATAACTTATTTTTCAGATAACCAATTATGTACAAAAAAATATATTAACCTACCCCATGTTGAAATTTTTTTCCGTTGCGTGCCGCTTCGTGTTGAATTTTCGTTGACGTTAAGCCTAATGTAAATTTTTTAAAATAATCGTGGCTATTGTATCGTTAAAAATTATTTCTTTATTTTTTACAAACAAAATAAATATATTGAAAAATAAAAAAACAAAAAAATTATACTTCAGAAGTAGATCTAGTATCAAAAACGTTCAATTCAGCACGACACACAGTCCTCAGACAAACACCATACAAAAGTGCCAGTGCTGCCAGCTAAAACACACACACCAATAAAAAAAATATTGGAGTAACCCAAGATATAGCCAAAGATTGCAGCGCCACAGCACTAGTGAAAATTTAAATCTGCCGACTGGAATGCTTTTGGTTAACTGACATTTCGGATAACCGACGCTCTACTGTATAGTTTAGAATAATACAGTGGTGCCTTGTATAACGTATGCCTCGAATAACGGACTTTCTGTTTGGCTGTTACATGACTCAAGCAACGGACTGGCTGCGAACAACGGATCTTCCGTTCGGCAGTTATGTGAGGCAAACAACGGTCTTTCTGTGAACAAGTGCGAATGATGTTTCCATTCTTTTGCCATTGCCAATGACAATCTGCTATTTTTATAATATATTAGTATTATTAGAATATATTATCAGTATATCTGAAGTACAGAGCTTCCGTTGGGATTTGGCTTGCTCCCTTCTTTATTACGTACATCACCTCAGTGCAGAGTATTTACATTTATTCAAGTGTTGTGNATTATTAGAATATATTATCAGTATATCTGAAGTACAGAGCTTCCGTTGGGATTTGGCTTGCTCCCTTCTTTATTACGTACATCACCTCAGTGCAGAGTATTTACATTTATTCAAGTGTTGTGCAAATCATGGCTTCTAAAAAACCAGAAAAGTGATTTCAATTGAAACAATGCAAGAAAACATCAGAAGGAGGGAAAGTTGACAAAAACTTTCTTGTCAAATGGAAAGAGGTTCAGGAGTTTACCTACACTCATTATCCAAACAGAGCTGAGGACAACAGGATCAACGACACCCTTGCCTGTCATTTCTAACAGGTGTTGAAGAAGAGAGAGAAACAGACCACCTTGGACATATTTTTCAAGAAGCCAGCTTCCAAATAACAAAGGATGGAACAAGAGGAGTTGACCCTGCAAGCTCCAGTAGCCTCTCCTGAATCTGACTCCGATTAAAAAACAATAAAAAGACACTTGCTGCAATGTGTAAAAAGTCTGTATCTGTATGAATGTGTGAAGAAAGTGTTCCTCCACATCCTCCTCACAGCATCTGACTACCTGGCATAATTGGTGACTACTCCATTTTCATTTTTTTATGGTACAGTATGGTTATTTTATGCTGCGGAACGAATTATATCTTTTAACATGTATTTCTATGGGAAAATGCGTTTTGTATAACGGACTTTTCACTTAACGGACGTGCACCTGGAACGGATTAAGTACGTTATATGAGGCACCACTGTATATGATATATCAAATACTGAGTGAGATGTTAAAGTCTAGAACAGATTAGTTGTAATTCTTCACTCAAGAGATAACTTTTTGCTAGCTCAGTTGATAATAAATCACACAAGATTAGCAGTATCTTCTTTACAGTTTTGTTGCTGCCTATATACTCAAAAGGCTTGATCCTGTGCAATATGATTCTAATCAGCTGTTTCAAGTCTAACTGTTATTTGTGATAAATATGCATTAATTACTTAGATTAATTTGTTTAGAAAGTTTATCATCTCATTTCTACAGATTCCTGCATGACTAGCAGAAAGTGACAGTTCTCTTTGTCTGATATATTGATAGTGCTAAAGTAATAGTTGATTTTGGAGAATGGTTACATGTTGTTTATATTTCTTTCAAGAGTAAGTAACTTTAACATATTGAATATCTGTTTAATCTTAGAAAGGCCATGTATGTCTAATGGCTATACATACAGATCTAACATCATTAGATAAAAGCTAATAATTGCAAATTAATAAATATTAATATAATTTTTAAAAAATACTGGATGGTAATTTTTGTATTAATTAAAATTGGAAGATAAAAGTATTTTGAAAAAATCATCTTTTATTCACTTTCATGTTCTGGAATATATCCCACAACCTGATCTTTTCTTTCAGGCTAATTGGTCACCAAAAATTTTAAAAATTTCCTTAAAACATAAAAAATATCCAATTTAATGATAAAGCACTTTATAAAAATTGAAATAAAAACTAAAAACAGATATCATTTTACTTCTCCATCTACACCCCTTTGTCTTTAATTTTAATTAATTCAAATATTAATATAATTATAAATGTATTTTATTGAGCTATTTCAACTTATCTTTGCACAACTTAGGATAACGAAAAGCATATTTTTAACATTTTTGAAATACATTTCAAAATAGAAAGATCAAGGAATATGAATTATGAAGCATTATCACAATTAGAAGAATGTTAAAGTAGTTATTTTGATGTTAATGAAATTCAAAAAAGTAATATTTAAAACTGCAATTAAAGTTCTTATATGGATACTTTTAAGACGAAACCAATATCAGGACTGAAGATCAACTGCTTTAACTACAGATGAGACTTTACAATCACAATAAAAAAAAAAAAAAAGGCAGGCAGAAAATACTGATAATTCATTTAGTGAATTTATTGACACCTGGCAAATAATTTGATCATCAGCTTTTAATCCATACAAATACGTGTTTCAGGCTTTCGCCCCTCTTCAGTCTGTTACATAGACAGGTTGTATCTTATGTATACAGTATTGTCAGGCACCTTTCGTACCTCCCACTCCCCTTCCCTTCCCTCTTTACTTGATGGCCTCCCCTCACATGCCTCATAACTTATAACGTCTCACTCCCAGAGTGCCACACAGCCTCACCTGCGACTGTATAAACATTCTATTTGAATAGTTGTAGCCAGTTTTTATGAATTCCAATGCTTAGATTCTTGTTAATTTAATTAATTAATATTATTTTTGACTGTAGTAATTTTGTAGCTTTCTTTAAATTTTTTTTTGTACCAATTTTTTTCTTTGTGTAATATTATAATGTCATTCTTATCTATTTTGCACTTGTGAGTTGTGCAATGTTCGTAAAAAACAGAGTTGATTCTATTATATTTCAAATCCACAATGAGTTCTTTTAATCTTGTTTCTAATTTTCGTTTTGTTTCCCCGATGTATACTTTTGGTGGTTCGCATGTGCAAGGTACTTTATAAATGACTTCGGTAGTGTTGTATTTGTCTGGTTGTTTATTTATGCCAGGTTTAGCCTTCCAGATTTTTTTTTTCTTTTTTTTTTTGCAAGTTGTTATAAGTTGAGGCTAGTTTTACTGTTAGGAACACCATTAGCTAAGTTACTACCGAAGCCATTTATAAAATGCGAACCGCCAAAAGTATACATTGGGGAAACAAAACGAAAATTAGAAACAAGATTAAAAGAACTCATTGCGGATTTGAAATATAATAGAATCAACTCTGTTTTTTACGAACATTGCACAACTCACAAGTGCAAAATAGATAAGAATGACATTATAATATTACACAAAGAAAAAAATTGGTACAAAAAAAAATTTAAAGAAAGCTACAAAATTACTACAGTCAAAAATAATATTAATTAATTAAATTAACAAGAATCTAAGCATTGGAATTCATAAAAACTGGCTACAACTATTCAAATAGAATGTTTATACAGTCGCAGGTGAGGCTGTGTGGCACTCTGGGAGTGAGACGTTACAAGTTATGAGGCATGTGAGGGGAGGCCATCAAGTAAAGAGGGAAGGGAAGGGGAGTGGGAGGTACGAAAGGTGCCTGACAATACTGCATACATAAGATACAACCTGTCTATGTAACAGACTGAAGAGGGGCGAAAGCCCGAAACACGTATTTGTATGGATTAAAAGCTGATGATCAAATTATTTGCCAGGTGTCAATAAATTCATCAAGTCGTGACATCGAACCAAACAAAACAAGAAGACGACGACACAGTTTCAACAAATAAAACTGATAATTCATTTTAAATATTTTTTTATATGTCACTGAGTGAACTTTTATATGCACTAACGAAGAAGGCAAACAAACAACTAATAAAAAAATATATTTATATATATGTTACTGCTAAAGCTCGAAAGTCGTTAATGTGCACATTACCTAGCTAATCTGCAGATTAACTAGGGTGATCCATTAAAGTTGTGAAAATTGTTTCATTTCTCAAATTACCTAGATAAGATAGTGCAGAGTATCTAGGTAATCCGCACATTACATACTAGACACTCGGTAAAGTGAAAATAAGATCTTTGCCACAAATAAATGTACCACAAATAGGTGTGCTTGTCGCAAAAACCAATTGCTATGAAATTCAAAGTGTCACCAATCTTTAGACTGCACTAATAAGTAAGCNGTGAAAATAAGATCTTTGCCACAAATAAATGTACCACAAATAGGTGTGCTTGTCGCAAAAACCAATTGCTATGAAATTCAAAGTGTCACCA